AAGTAGAAGACGCTAATTACTGAATTATCTGTATCATCTGCGACTCCTTCTTTTTGTGGTCTCTCAAGCAACAAGGATTCTGGTAGCCACGGGAGATACCCTGTTTGGCTTCACCCCCCACTTCAATCCTTTCCACCTTATTCTAGGCGCACCCATTATATGTTGCCCATTTCAAAATGACCTCCCTTGATAGCACAACGTCGTGTATTTGCATCCCAAGGGCATTCATTCTCATGAGCCCACCTTCAGGCCACTTCCAATTGTCCATTTCCAGCAGCAGAAGAGCAAGTACCTTCACCCCATGCGCAGCCATTTTGTCTGGCCCACATCAAAATGTTCAAGTGCCCACCCTCAGCCGCACCACTGCATGTTCACTGCGCCCATGGGCAACCATCTTTCGGCCACTTTAGCAATTCAAAATGACCATATTTTGCAGCAAGTTTGCATGCCGGACTATCCCATGGCAAGCCATTCCTTCTTGCCCACTGTAGCAATTCCAGATTGCCACCCAAAGCGGCAAAACAGCTTGTTTCTGCAGTCCATGGGTAGCCATAATTTCTTGCCCATTTCAAAACATTTAGGCACCCTTGTCTTGCAGCCTCGTGACAGGTGTAAATGTTCCATGGGCAGCCATTATCTCTAGCCCATTGAAGCATCTCCAGATGCCCACACCTTGCAGCAAACTGGCATGTCGCTGCTGTCCAAGGGCAACCATTGTTTCTAGCCCATTTGAGCATTTCCAAATCTCTATTTTCTGCAGCATTTGAGCATGTATGTTCTTCCCATGGACAGCCATTCTCCCTGGCCCATTTCAATATTTCCAAAATGTCCACCTTGTGCAGCACCAGAGCAAGTCCCAGCACTCCATGGACAGCCATTGTTTCTCGCCCATTTCAGCACATTGAAATGACCATGTCTTGCTGCAGCAGTGCATGTCCTTTGATCTCCACCTTGCATTCCATTTTGCTACGAGCCCTTTTTCAAATCTCAAATGGCCATTTCGAGCAGCACAAGAACATGTTTGTATGTCCCATTTGCAGCCATTCTCATGGCCCCATTTCAAGATATCAAAATGGCCATGTTTAGCAGCTGCACAGCACGTCCTTCTATCCCATGGACAGCATTTGCATGGCCCACTTTTCAAGACCTCAAAACTCTGCAGCCTCAGTAGCACAAGAACACGTTTGTTCATCCCACAGGTATCCCTTCTTTCGGGCCCATTGGAGGACGGCAAGACGTGGACACCAACTTTGGCAATGTGCCGACACACAAACATGTTCTTGGGTGCTTTGCAGGTGTTATCATCATTGTGCCAGTATTCAGCACAGGACACATTACAGAATCCAACACTCAAAAACGTGTCCTTGCTGGTTGCTGGCCGCTTCTCATTCGCAGAAAGAAGAACCTTGGGAGGATCCCCCACAGAGTTGCAAAACTTCTCGTAGAGGTCTTTCATCTCTTTGTTGACACCTGCCACAGTGGCATAGTGCCCCATGCCCACAAAGGGCCGGATGTTGTCCAAGAAAACATCTTTTTGATCCAACAAGTTCATGACAAAGGGGGCTTTCTCGGTTGCCTCATGGAGGCATGATGATGGACCAGCTTCGGTTTGGGTTGTATGTTTGACTCTTTCGTTCAAACCGCGGTAAACTGAAGCTCTAACCAACGCTCACTGCTGTTTTGCCGTTGCCCTCCAAGAGGAAATGCTCTTCCGAATGATCCAGCCGTGCATTTATTGCACCCCATCCTCTAGCATAATTCTGTGAAACATTCTCTATGTTGCTGGTAAGTATCGAGAAGAAGGGGTATCAATCAATTGGATAGAAGCAACAAAACAGAGCAGCCAGAGCCAAAGAAGGTCTCGACTGGATGATCGGGTCAATTGAGCCAAGAGCCCCTACGACTGTACAAAACCTCAAATTCTTTCACACATAAAAAGCACAAAAGCCCTCTCGCACCTTCTTATCATTCAATGAAGCAACGTTGAAGTAATTGTGTTCATGTGCGCTCAATGATAGCACGCCCTCTCCATATGGATGGGACGCGCACATCTTCAAGGGGTGTGAGGTTCCGTTTTGGGAAGCAGTGAGTTGCCGTGACGACGGAGCATGAGCCATGAAAGCATTGAAGATTCCTACTACCCGATGCAATTCGGACGCCAAGAGGGGAGAGGAGGATGCCACAGTTTCCTTCTGGATCAGTCTGGAAACGTTGGAGGCTCGAAAAGGAAGCAGGACGAGTGGCCATAACGTAGAGGATGGTCCGATACCTTCGCATCAGACCGGAGTGGCTTTTTCGAGCCGTGACGTGCTTGCGGGACGAAATCCGAAAGAACGGTGGGCAAGTTACATTGGAAGAACGACGTAAGAGAAGCCCACACCCGTCGAGGACTAGCCTGCCCCGAAGACAAAAGTGTTCCTCGGAGTGCCAGAAGGAGTTCAAACCGATCGCGTCTCGAAGGCGTGGAGGAGATGACGGAAGAAATAAGAAGAGCCTGACTGTGCAGAAATTTGGGTCCAGCCGAAGGCGGGAATGAGCCACAGTCCTTTCACAAGAGGTAGGCTCTGAGAGTGACCAGATTTTGGCAACTTGCTGGTCCAGTCTGGCAGTCTCTTGTCAATAGCAAGCCATATGCTGATGACTATGACAGATTCCGAGAAGAGGTGATGGAGACTATTGTGGTTGACGGTGTCAATCGAATGGGCAATGCAATGGTAGAGTGGTTTGACAATCAAACCAGAGGATCATCGCTGGGATTTGGCACTTCCCGCCCATCCGCGTCTTTGGTCGACATCAGGGACCCGTTTGGCCTTGGAAGCACCAACTCGTTGCGTGGAAGTGATTTTGAACCGATCGGTTGGGACACATCCTCGACGCAAAGCCTGAGCCGGCTTGATTCCGAGAGCATTCTTTCCGGTTTTGGTTCAGAGTTGGACGATTCCACCAGGTCACCATTGATGACACTTGCCCGATGCGCCACCTAGCCGCACGAGCTTCAGCTTTCAAGAGGAAAGGCAACGTCATTTGGCGTCAACGACAAGGGAGCGCCCACACGGCGAAGTCACCGGTAATCCTCCGCCTCCGGATTGTGTGGTTATTCGTGCTAACCGAGACAAGGCCCCGCCAACACCGCCCGTCTCCACCAGGAAAGGCGCAAGCTCAGCTCGGAGATCAGCATCAACGGGATCAGAAAAGGCACATCAAAGTATCCATGATACCAAAGGAGAAGTCACTGGAACTGTGGGTGACAGTGGAACCGAAAAAGTCTATGTGAGTTACAACAAGGCCGAAGGACCAGGACGACGTACAGCGCAGACAGAAGAAGGTTCTCCGAAAGGCGGTGGTTGGCGCGACAACAGCAAGGAGCGGACATGGGTAGCTGACGACGACTCCCCTGCTGATGACAACGGAGTTGATCCTCTCAGCATTCTGTCCAAAGGTAGGGCCCGATTCCGAAAGATGGGTTCAAAATGGATGAGAAGTATAGCTGAAGATTAGCTGGATTCCTCACCATCGGATTTTCTTTTCGAAGGTGGCAGCCTTGGTAGTGGTGGCGACAATGACGAGCCGACATGGGCAGCCAGTGGTGAATCCCCGGCTAGCAATGGAGGCGACCGCCTCAGCATCCGGTCCAAAGGAAGAGCTAGTTTCCGAAAGAAGTGGATGAGAACCATTGCTGAGGGTTAGTTGGATTCATTCCTACCCATTACATATTATACTTTCAAAGATAAGATTAGGATGCTGTATTAGTTACAAGTGCTGGTGCTTGTAGCGATACTGGTACTCTTGGGATTCCGTTACTTGACCAACAAGTACCAGATTTTGCTTGCGATTGCTCTGTGCGGGGCTGGGATCCCATACACAACGGTCCACATGTGAGAATAGACGGAGGCTTTCAAGCTGGCCACGGACTGCTGCAACTAAGCATTCCTGTTCCCTTCATGGCTCTTTTTCTCCGCAGACAACAACAGAGGGGATTGCCTGCACCAACAAAGCAATCCATCTGACTCCAGTTCCATCCGGGACTTTCAGTGCCCTCTCCCTCACCAAAGACCAAAGACAAATTACACAGCTTTGCACTGGCTTCTAAAGTTTAGATCCAAAAAGAACCGTTTCGTCATTTCTGGAGCAGATGGGATTTCGGCACTTCTAACCAAGAGATACCATGCCTTGATCCTTGATGAAGACGCTGTAACTAACATCCATGCATCCATGCTGTCGAGAACTCGTGTCCTTCTCAACCCCGTTAACCGTGTCAATCGCATCATTTGCGTTCGACACGGGGAAAGCTTGGGCAATGTGGACGACAAAACCTACGGCCGGATTGCCGATTGGAAAATTCCGTTGAGTGACCTGGGCAGGGAGGAAGCTCGGGATGCAGGAAGGCGGCTTGCCAAGCTCCTTGGTCCAGATCAAAGGTTCGTGGTGTATCATTCTCCGTACAAACGAGCCACAGAAACATGTTACGAAATGCTCAAAGCCTTACCAGCCGACGCAGTGATTGGATCCATACGGGAAGAACCTCGCATCGTCGAACAACAATTTGGCAATTTCCAAAACTACGAAGAGATTCAGAACTTTCGTGATGAACGAGTGAAATTTGGTCGCTTCTTTTATCGATTTCCCTCGGGAGAAGCCGGAATGGATGTCTACAGTCGCGTCACGAGTTTTATCTCCACCATTAATCGAGATGCAAGTTTGCTGCGACAAGAGGGCTATGACATGGATAAGGTCAATGTCTTGATTGTGACTCATGGTCTCACACTTCGACTCTTTCTCATGAGATGGTTCCAAATATCGGTTGAAGAATTTGAAGACATGTACAACCCCGACAATGGCTTTATGGCTGTCATGGAACGAAAGGAATCCGAATGTGGCCGCAAACAATTTTACGAGCTCACGGAAGAATCGGCTCAACATTTGCGAATCAAGACGCGAGTAACTTCTTGGGCGGCTCCTTTGGAAGAGCGTCACAAAGGAAGATGATGATCCATAGTATACCGTACCGGTACCGGTAAAGCTGTGAATGGATCATCAACACTCAGTGTTCAAACAGATACGAAGAAGGAGCCAACCCAATGTCATACAATTTTAGCAAGCTGGCTAGTGGATATGCCGCAGATCAATGGTCTCCTCCACAATCTACACCGTTGCTATTAATGGCTAGAACCTATAGAAAGCTGACGCTAATTCCTTGGTTCAACTTTTCGAAACTTGCGTGGCTATGGTAAGAGGATCAAGTTGTTTCTGCACGGGCCAGCCAGACTGCGATAGAAGCAATTCTTTGACCCTGGTTTCGTCTATCAACTCTCTAAAAGTTAATCTGAGGGGTCACAATTGAGCATTGTTGCACCGGCACAACAACTGCATTCGCTCAGCCTCAGTTAGCCCCAGTTGCATTGCACCACTCACAGGAACTTGCACCAAAGGAAAACGAAATGTCACCGCGTCGGCCTACAAGAGGGACAAGGTTCTGGCCGCCGCCATTGAAAATGCTGTCCTCAAGGGAGAACCACTGGATGGATTGTCCAGTTGAAAATCAGACTACTTGCCGGGAGGCCATCTGGACCACCGTCGTGAGAATATAGTAGGAATGGACGTGGAGTTCCAACAGCAGCAGCAACGACCAGGGCTACACACCACGGGCAAAGCTGGTGGGCAGTATCGAAAATGCTGCTGCATAAGGTAGATTTCTTGAAGAAGAACTGTTTGTATATATTTATCTTTGCTAGATAGCTTCGTCCATCACCGACTTGAAATAGCTGGCGAGTACAGGGCGGAAAATGTAGTGCACTCAGCAAGTACATGTAGTGCACTCAGCAAGTAGCAGTACAGGAGCTAAAAGCAAAGCCTTCGATCCAGTTGGGTGTGCTACCGGTAGGGTTGGCTACATGGTACCGCAGTGTGAAATCAATAGAAAGGCTGAGGCAAGCAGAAAGCGACGAAAGGCAGCCACCCAAATGTCACATCCGTTCCACCAAGACACGAGCTAGTCCTAGCTCTCTGGAAACTCTGACATACTTCCACTGGCCATCTTCCATCATAGTTGAAATGAGTGTCACATTGTTCTCGGAAAATGGGATCTCCAGTAAATTCTGTCGTTTGATCCGTTTGGGTGCACTGATTCATCCACCTGTACTGCAACTCGGCCCTCTTCCGACCCATCCATGCAGATGGTGCCAAATTTGCCATTCATTGTCAAACCAGAAGGGCTGCCAAGACCATGGATCAAAACCCACAAACCAGCTTCCCCTCTCTCCAAATCAGTGCAACCTGCTCTGCCCTCCTCTTCGGCTTCCATGTATGCAGCACCTTCCATCGATAATTCAGAGTACATTTGGAATTCGCTTGCGTTGGCTTCATCATTTTCTGATACATACTTGAATAGAGCAGATGCTTCCTTCAACTCAGCAGAGGTTCCACGAACGACAAAGCCTCTGTTGAGAATTCCCTGAGTGGTTCTGCCGGACAAAGCACATGCCCGAGTGAAGGACAACTGGACAATAATGGCATTGTTACTGTGTTCAGCTCTATCAGCCATTTTGCGTTTCTATCAGCCCTTTTTGTGTTTCTGTCACTTTTTGTTTTTGCATTGAGTGCAACCTTTGTGATTCTTTTGAGCATGCCATCACGGCACCACCAGGTTGGTTTATTTTGATGATCATCGCTGTTTTGAATGCAGCTAGTTGCGAGACATCCTGTGAGAAAAGCCCAATGGTCAAAGGCCACATGCACAGGCTTCAGCACATTATCAATCTCCCCAAACAGACCACAAAATGCCCACCGTTTGATTGCCTCCCCCAAGTATGATGTGGCTTCCTTTTCTTGTCCTGATGCATGGAAGCATTGCCAAAGTCGATGAGAACTTTCTGGTCGCCTTGAGTCTAGCTTTTGAGCTTTGCGAATTAGCTTCTTACCACCAGCAAATCCCCATCAGCTATCTTCTTTTCTGCTGACAACATAATGGCGTAATACTCATCGCCCAAAGCTTCCACATAGGTTAATTAGCAAGTGCGCTACAATCCCTTCCTAAAGGTTCCACAATGTCAGTGAAAAGTGTACCAAGGTCATAAGCAACACCCTTTTTCTTTACTTTGACTTCCTTCTTATGCCATTTTTTGTGTCTCAGCCAATCCTCCTGGAAACACTGTTGGGAGCAAAAAAGGGCTGGAATTAAGCCTTCTTGATGACATTGTGGACAACACTGCTCGAATTCCTTGCCGGCTGGTTCTGCTGTTTGGCAGCCCCAACAGACTCTCCCTGCCTTGTAATCTGGTGGTATCGTTTGCATAAGCTCTTCCGCTGCCAACTCCGTCATGGCAAAAGGTCTAGCTAGATAGTTGCATGGGAGTGGAACACAATGAAGCGTTTTCTTCATGGTTGCTGGAAGCCTGAACTTCATTACCGCGGCCAACTCCGACACTCCCTTGCAAATACAGCTCTGCAGGACCGAATTCAAATTATCGAATTCCGTTTGCTTTAATGCTTTGAGAACAAATCCAGAACTCAATGCAGCAAAAGACTTAACAGAGAGGATGACCGAAATAACAGAACAAAGAATGTTCCATTGGCGAGAGGCAACAACTTTGGCACATCGACGCGAAAGAAACTGTTGATACCATCGTTGATTGATCTTTCGCCTCTATCAGAGCTGTCGAAGCTATCGGTTTCAAAGCTACTAGTATGGCCAGGGGCTATCTATCAATCTTAGTAATAACAGGGTTCTGGTACGACTCATCGACAAGAACGTCGTCAGTGGCAGGACTGTACTGAAGCATTGCTGTGTCTTGATGTCCCCCATCTACTGGCACCACGACACTTCAGAATCAGCAGCTACGGGTTTAGCTGGTGGAACAGCATCAGCCATTTTCATCCAAACATTGGCCACTCTTTTCTTTTTCTTGGCTGCGGTGTTTGTTGTTGTCATGACTAGCAGTAGCAGTGTAATCAGTGGTACCATCGTAACCAACAGCAGCAACAATAAAGGGAAGATGAGCATGAGCATCATGGCAGTGGTGAGAATTGCCATTGTGGGATCTCTCCTGATGCTCTGCCCTTTGCTAAGCTCTGTGTATCAGACCCAAAATTGCACGATGCAACTGAGGCAAGGTGTTGGCACGGGTGAATTCGATCTACCCCAAATGGCTGCTTCCCTTGGT